GTAGGATCTTCGAGATTTGTAGCCTCGCAGGTGACGAGTTGCCAGTTGGACATCCTGACAGGAAGTGGGAAGGACGTATGTATTCCAGGGCGACAAGGTTTCCGATGAGCACAAAGATCATGCGATCTTCGCAGAACTAGGTTCCGACCCCGCGTCAATGGAGGCAGCGAAGGTGATCGATGTTTTCGGTAGCCAGCCCGGGTGTAGCAAACAGCAGGCGGATGCGAAACATGTTCAAAGGTGTGGAGACATGGGTCAGGCTTCCGTGTAATCTGGAAGTACAATGACCCTGTCGTACCCTTGATGTTGGCCCTCTACGGTCGTCCCGATTCTGGTGGGATCTGGGAGAAACATTGCGAAGACCAGCTTATAAGACCGTAGGGTGCTTATAAGACCGTAGGGTGGACGCCAGTACTCTCAGAGATCTGGCGGAGCATTTTCTATCACGCCGAACTCGACCTTTTACTTGTCATTTACACTGATGACTTCAAGATGGCCGGACCCACCGGTAACCTTAAGAAAGGCTGGGTTACTGCAGAGAGTGTCATCGACGTGGACCCTCCTGAACGTTTTGGTCGGTACTGCGGTTGTAAACCACTCTGAGAAAACAGGGGTCAAGCTTCCCAGGTTGCACATCCTTTTGCGTGTGAGAAGATAGCTTCTCCAGCTCGGGGTAGCCCGAAGCCGAAAGTGGAGGAGGACTTCTGGGCAGTCGCTCCCGAACTTGGTGCTGCTGTGCGTCATCACGTTTTTTGCAGGAAAAGGTTGTATGTTCCAACAAACCGGGACATTGAGAAGTTCCCTGATGTCTCAAATGTTAGGTTCACCGATGTAGATGAAGGACTCATTGAAGAGCATGACTTAAATGCTGCAGGTGATCCCGAGCGCGAGGAATGGTGGACAGGCCGATCCATTGTCCCTCTCCCAGGTGTCGAGACTGAGACGATCAGACACGCTCTAGCTGCCTCAAAAGGCAAGCCGTCTAGAAACCTGTCAACGTTATATGACATAGGACATGAAAGATTTCCTGATATCTTGCGTTGAACGATACTGTGAGCTCGCGCATGTCAACAAGTCATCATTGTCGGTGGTTGCAAAGCCAGTGGAAGGAGAGAACGAGGCAGGCTGCAACCGATAGCAAGCAAAGTGTTGATGAAGATCCACTTCGCAGCTAGGATGGCTCGCTGGGACCTTCTGCGGGCGACCCAAAGCTCAGCATCCCGTGTGACTAAATGGAGCAGGGATTGCGATTCAGCTTTGCGGAGGCTTGTTTGCTACATCACTTCTTCCTTGGATGTGAGAAAGCAGGGTTTCATTGGAGACAGGATAAGGCGAATGCAAGTTGTGGTCGTTTCGTGATGCCGACTGGTCAGAAGAGCGCGACCGAAAGTTCACTTCAGGGTGTGCTTTGTATCTCGTCGGGCCTCACACTTACTACCCACTGAACGCTTTCTCCAAAAAGCCAGCCAGCGTCACCATGTCTAGCGACGAGAGCGAGGTCATCAGCAGTGAGGTCATCAGCGCCAATCATGGTGTAAGAATTCAGGGTCTCCCCAGCCTAAGTCTCTGGATGTTCCTTTGGCGACAGGTTGAGATTGATCCAGCCAACTATGAGGTTAGGCCGAAAGCTCCTCCTCCGGTAAAGATTGATGGGATACTCGCAAGAATCGATCCCGAACTCGATGAGATTAGGTACGGCGGGTGCCCAGGTGGACGCTCGGTTGCCAATCTACAAGGCCTCGACGTAGGACTTAGCGGTAAGTTCCAAGTGCAGTTCCTGGAAGACAACCAAGCCACTGTCACCATCGTGAGCAAAGGCGATAGTGAGAAAATGAGGCATACTGGCACACTGATCGCACCCAAATCATCAGCTTTGGCTGGCTGCGTCAACAGTTTGAGGCGAAACACTTCAACGTGGAAAACGTAGACATCTTAGAGCAGGTAGCCGATATTTCCACGAAGTCCTTTGCCGAAAAAGCAAAGTGGGATCACGCGCTAAGGCTAATCAACCGCAATCGCTGCCCCGATGTTAGCCCAAAGGGGGGCAAGGAGTCGGACAGTCATTTGGTGGCCAAGCCTACAATTGCAGGCCCCTGTTATGGGAGGCCGGTAGTTGAGAGCGCTGCTGAGGAGCTTCTTCGGAGTAAGGACTTCAGCCACACTGCTTTGCAAAGCCTAGCTGCAGTACAAGTCCCAACAAAGGTGAGTCGTAGACGAAAGTCAAGGCTCACTACTTCCGATGAGTCTTATTACCGTAACTGGGGCTCTTTTCGTTCAGCGGAATGCGAGGGATTACCGCGACTGCTAAGAGCTTTCCCCTTGCTTGTAAGTACGTGAACGAATGGATTGCAAAGCATGCGCGATCAGGCTTCACTTGGACGGCTTTTGACATCAACCGTGCTAAGTCATTGTTGCGCGCAGATTCCAGTAACCTCAGGGGAGTGACAATTTCGCGGTTAGTTTTGGGGATTTCACGGACGGGCCACTTTCGGGAAGACAGCACGCATCGCACTGCGTTAGCATGCGTGCTTGCACACCGCCTGATTGACGAGTATCCTTACGACCCAACCAATGAGCGGAAGTACCTGATGCCATATGTGTTTGATGGGGTTCTGCACCGGTCGCAGGAGTCCCGTCGCATTCAAAGGCAGGCCGAGATCCGCAAAAGCGGCGCCGGAGTGCCCAGAACCGTGGGAATCGACCTATGTGGAGACAACGGGACTGAAGCCTGTCGATATACAAGAACACACTGCGAACTGGGTCTACGCTAACAATCAAGCGTTGGAGACAAAGAAGGGCTCGGAAAAGGACAAGGCTCGCCCCCGCCCAGCAGCAGCTGAGGCCGCTTCACCCAGTGCTGAACGTACGGCAACGTACAATGAGGTTGTTGCAGCCATTCCGTATCGCGCCGAGGAGAGACGACTTCTTTCAGCTGCCAAGGCTGCACGTGAAGTGACCCTTTAGTCAGCGCGAGCTGCTACAGATGCCCCTGCCATTGGAGGCCGAGTGTTAGCACGCAGTGCGGATTTGTCAGGGATGAAGTGGCACGACGATAGGGACTTGGACGAGATGCTTGGCTGCCACGGTTATCTTCCAGACGACCCTGAGGCGAGGGCATGATCATCCTCAGTCGTGAAGACATTGCAAAGCAGCATCTCGGGAAGAGCCCCAAGCACCTTGAATACATTGAGAGGTGGCTTATTGGAGTCGCGAGGGGAGCAAAGTACAATCTTGGGTCGAGAAAGGGCAAGTGGGTTTCGTTGGCCGAAGTGATTGCCAAGTGCGCCTGAGAAGAATGTGTGGCGGGGAGTCCGAGAAGTCATAAGGACCGTCGCCAAGGATGACAAGGGACGCTTCATGTTGTCCGGTCACAAGCGCGACATGCGGAATCCTTTCGACACTGGACTTTGGCCCGCATGGATCAGTGCAGCACACGGCCACAACTTTCTTTCTGTCTTATGAAGCATGTCCAAGCTTCGCTGACTATGTGCCGCACGAGTGGTGCACAAAGCAGCTTCAATACTCAGCAAGAAAGAGCAGCCTTTTCAAGATGTTCATGAAAGGGTTAC